TGCCTCTTACTCTTTCAGTTATGATGCTGGTCAAAGCTCGCGATCCGAAAGTGCTGATCCCAACCTTAACGTACAGGGAACTTTCAGCTTTGATGCTGATGATGGAATTAGAAGGACTGTGAACTATATTGCTGGTTCTGCTACCGGTTTTGTTGCTGAAGGTGACCACTTACCTGTTGCTCCAGATGCTGATTTTGGCTCGCGAATTCAGTCTTCCAGCCCAAGTGTTGTGTCAACCAAGAGTGCAACTACAGCCTATGTTGCTCCTGCTCCTTCACGATCTGCTGCCCCTTCACGACCCGTTGCCCCAGCAGCACCAGTTGAGGAAGCTCAAGTACGAAGCTCTGCTCTTGATGATGGAAGCTACTCTTTCTCCTATGAGACTCAGAGTAGCTCACGACATGAAAGTGCAGATGCTCTCAACAACGTCAGGGGAAGGTATTCCTTTATTGCTGATGATAATGTAAATAGGGAAATTCAGTATGTTGCTGGAGCTGACACCGGTTACATTGCTGAAGGAGACTCTCTTCCTCAAGGACCACCTGTTCCAGGTGCAGAGACTGGAATTCCAACTGGACGCATTCTTCCTGTTCTTTCTGAAGAAGAGGCTAACGAGCTTGCTGCTGCCACTTCTGGTTCTGCAGGTGCTAGCCCTTTGACTGGTGCTACCTACAGTTCCCCAAGTGACTCTGTTACAAGGGATGCATCTTACTCTTTCAGTTATGATGCTGGTCAGAGCTCACGATCCGAAAGTGCTGATCCCAACCTTAACGTACAGGGAACTTTCAGCTTTGATGCTGATGATGGAATTAGAAGGACTGTGAACTATGTTGCTGGATCTGCTACCGGTTTTGTTGCTGAAGGTGACCACTTACCTGTTGCTCCAGATGCTGATTTTGGCTCTCGAATTCAGTCTTCCAGCCCAAGTGTTGTGTCAACCAAGAGTGCAGCTACAGCCTATGTTGATCCTGCTCCTTCACGATCTGCTGGCCCTTAACGACCCGTTGCCCCAGCAGCACCAGTTGAGGAAGCTCAAGTACGAAGCTCTGCTCTTGATGATGGAAGCTACTCTTTCTCCTATGAGACTCAGAGTAGCTCACGACATGAAAGTGCAGATGCTCTCAACAACGTCAGGGGAAGGTATTCCTTTATTGCTGATGATAATGTAAATAGGGAAATTCAGTATGTTGCTGGAGCTGACACCGGTTACATTGCTGAAGGAGACTCTCTTCCTCAAGGACCACCTGTTCCAGGTGCAGAGACTGGAATTCCAACTGGACGCATTCTTCCTGTTCTTTCTGAAGAAGAAGCCAATGCTCTAGCAGGAGTCTCACCTCTGCTGAAGTCTGGAGAGGGGAGCGACATTGCAGATACTCAAGCAGATGCTTCTTACAAGTTTGCCTTTGATTCTGATAGTTATTCACGGACTGAGGAAGCTGATGCTGATGGCAACATTGTCGGAAGCTATAGATATGTGGATGAAGATGGAAAAGAGCATACTGTTAACTTTGTAGCAGGAAGAAAAACTGGATTTTTGCCCGAAGGAGTCTTTGAACCGAAAGCAATTGCAGGAGACACAGCACCTGCAGCAGATGCTTCACCTGTGCATTCGTCACCTTTGAGACCAAGTGGTGTTACAGTTGTTCAAGCTGCCAGTCCTGTAGTTATAACGAAGGCTGCAGGATCAGCAACATCTGCGAGTCACACATCGCAGGTCGTAGGCGACGTTCTCCTTCACCAGTATTCTGCTGTCAATAGCCCCAAATATGGTTATGTGTTTACAGCTGTTCGTTAATTGGTTAATTGAAAAAAATATATATATATCTATATATATCGGCCATGTGGGATAAGGCTTTATTCTTGCTCAAACTCTGAAAATTATTTTTCTTAAATTTCATGCTTAAAGCAGATGCTTTCATGAAATTACATATCTCAGTTTTATTTATTAGAATTGAGAACTGCCTGTTGCACAATTCTCTTTAAAGTGGGACTCATTCTTTCAGAGCGGGTTTAGGTTATGGTTTGATTCTCATGCATTCACTTTCATTATCTTTTGGTATCGAACATAGTAGACGACCGGCAATGTACCCGAAGAGCCTAATGGAACCTATGTACATATGCAATCTGTACATTAGATTAACCAAGCAAAGAAAAAAAGAAAAAAAAAAGTGTAACTAATAAAAAATCCAAAAATGTTGGCAAAAAATGGAATATCAATAAAAGTGGCAAGGAATGCCTCAATGATTCTTACTTTCCCTATGGGTATTAAAAGGTTATACGCATTTTTACCGTACGATATCAGAGACTGACCTTCAGGTAAAAACTAGTATGTATTACGTAATTTTAGTTTTCTAGACTATGGTTATTAAAACATTTTTTTTCTTCACTTCCCACATTTTCATAAACTAATAATGTTAAATCCTGATTTATATGACTGCCATTTACCAAGGGACTAAAAGGAGCTCCGAGGGTTTTGTATTGGATCTGATTATCCTACCCCTTATACTGGTTTGTTGTTTTATCTTCATCAATTCATTTCGCTTAGTGAGCGACAAACCATTACAGCACAAATTAAATTTAATTAGATAACGTAAGCTCGGGAGAAGTATTAAGAGCCCTCAAAATATGGGCATTGCAAAAGTATTACATCTAAACTGTCGTCTGTTAATAAGTACTTGCAATTGTATAAGACAGAGTCTATGTTTAAAATAAGATCAGCAAAGATGTGGAATTATGCCTAATGAACAGAAATGATATGTCATGGTGTAAATTCACTTACCATAAAAACTCATATTTATAAAGATAAAATATGTCAAGAACACATTGAAACAAATAAGAATGTGCAAAATACAACAATTGTTCCCTATCACAAACTTTATTCTTTTAATTTACTCTTGCCAAATAAAAAGTCCATAACAAACTAATGAAGTAGCGTCGAATACACGATTTTCAATAGCGTCGAAAACTTGTAAGAAAGTATTCTTTCCTTTCCATATTGATCTATGATTTACAAATATATTTAATTTTCTGTAATCAATTTGCATACATATAAATTTGTATTTTGCCTTTCTTCTTTATCTCTAACCAATGCCTCTATAGATTCTTTTGTGTTCTCTACTCTTCACCGGTGTAAAAATACACTAACTATAGCAAATAGACATAAGACGAGTAAGGCAAGAACGACACAAACCAGGCCTTTGTCTGGAAATGTTTACCTTACATATTAGCTGAACGGCTACTGGCCAGGAACATTTGGTAAGTTACACTTGTCTGACCAGCATCCAAAAGAACAGAGTATATAATAGGCCTATTTGTAGCATCCCGAAACTCTAAACACTGAAACATTGATATGACTCGTAGCTGCATTTCACAAAAGATCTTCTAAATGTGTTCTGGTGTACAGTTTTGGAAGAAGAAAAAATTACAGAGGAAGTCCTATAAAGCCACTGAAAATGTTAGTATGATATTTTATTAGAAGCAAAACATTATAGAAGTTTTAAATAAAACTTTGCAACTCGCTTTGTCCGTTTATACGTGACGCCTCACTATGCAAGGCTGTAGAAACTTTTTCAGAATAAGACATCAATTTTACCTTTAAGTTATGCTATTCAGTGTACATCCATTCTGCTTTAGATAGAAAGTGGAAATGATGCTGCTTAAAGTTTCGCATTTCATCGTTTCGCATTTCAGGGGTGTAATATCATCATATCAAAATATGATTATTTCATCAATAGTTTTAGACCTGTAAGGTTATATCTTAGTGACACAGAATTAATTGATTCCCATTAAAACCAGCTCAATATCGCATATATTTTATTATAAACTAAAAAAAGATATTTCTCATTGACTGACATCACAAATAATAATAATGTTATAATAATAATGATGATGATAATTATAATTATGATTATAGTAATAATGATAGTAATTATGATAATGATGAAATTTTAATAATAGTTATGCAAATAATAGAAATAATAATGATAGTAATGGTAATGATGATAATAATGATGTCAAAATCACACACACACACACACACACACACACAGATACATACATATATATATATATATATACATATATATATATATATATATATATATATATATATATATATATATATATATATATATATGCATATATATATATGCATATATATATATATATATATATATATATATATATATATATATATATATATATATATATATATATAATGTCGTGATAAGAGAAATTATTAAGAGGTGACATCGAAAATTTAAACAAACAATGAGTTTGCAGGAAGACTGAATCTTGTTACTGCGTTCGCATCCTAGGACACACACACACACACACATATATATATATATATATATATATATATATATATATATATATATATATATATATATATATATATATATATAATGTCGTGATAGAGAAATTATTAAGAGGTGACATCGAAAATTTAAACAAACAATGAGTTTGCAGGAAGACTGAATCTTGTTACTGCGTTAGGCATCCTAGAATATATCTACCTATCCGATATTGATATAATTCATAACTTTACAGCAACCATTTTTCTTTTTGTTGTCCCTACGGGGAATTCCGTTATCAATTGTCATCATTATTATCATCATTACCATTACTATTATTATTATTATCATTATAATTTCTATTATTTTCATTACCATTATTAAAATTCCTATCATAATTACTATCGTTATTACTATAATTATAATTGTAATTAATATTATCGTTATTATTACCATTATAACGTTAGCATGATTACCATTACTATCATTATCATTATTATTACTATTATTATCACTATATTTTTTCATTATTGTATGAAGTCAGGTGACAGGAATGTGTATATATATATATATGTATATATGTGTGTATATGTGTGTATATGTGTGTATATGTGTGTGTGTGTGTGTGTGTGTGTGTGTGTGTGTGTGTGTGTGTGTGTGTGTGTGTGTGTGTGTGTGTGTGTGTGTGTGTGTGCGTATGCACAGAAGAGTGTATAGTGTATATATATGTATATATATATATATATATATATATATATATATATATATATATATATATATATATATATATATATATATATATATATATATATAAAGAACAGATAAACCAGGCTCATCGGGAACAGCATCTTTATTTTCATTTCCAGACGTTTCGGTGAAAAATTTAATCACCTCTTATCAATGATTAGCTGGAATAATGACGCAACATAAACCTGCGAAGGTTTTAAACAATATAATGTGGTCTTGAGTGGAATTATACAACATTATAGAGAGAAATTATAAATATAACAAATGAATACAAAATATTTCAGAGAATGGCGCAAATGCACCTATCATTTGTCAATTTTTATTTACACATGGTGATATTATTGGAACATTATAGCTTCCATTGACATAATTTATGTCAGTGGTGGCTAAATATTCATTGAGTCCCTTCCATATCCGAAAACTTTCTAATATCTGGACCAAAGCCAGGTGACCTGTATGGACTTTCATAAAAGTTCATAAAACAGGTTGCCTTCTTTGACCTGTTCTGTTGTTTAATCACTACGATCATTCATATATATATATATATATATATATATATATATATATATATATATATATATATATATATATATATATATAATGATCGTGATCTCTCTCTCTCTCTCTCTCTCTCGCTCTCTCTCTCTCTCTCTCTCTCTCTCTCTCTCTCTCTATATATATATATATATATATATATATATATATATATATATATATATATATATATAAATATATATATATATATATATATATATATATATATATACATATACATATATATATATATATATATATATACATATATATATATATATATATATATATATATATTAACTAAACACACACACACACATATATATAGAGAGAGAGAGATACAGATATAGATATGTGTATATGTGTGTGTGTGTGTGTATATATATACATACACATATATACACTTATATACAAACATATATATAATATATATGTATATATAAATACATATATATATGGATGGATGTGCATATACATTTTTATTTTTTTAATTTATTTCGTGTTTTTCTTTTTTTGTTATTTTTTCTACTTTGAAATGCTTTAAAATCAATAAACTGAATTAAATAACAAAAGAAATTGTTATGGTTAATCGGTACAATGTTAAAACTGATTATGTATCTATCATTATTTTCATATTTCACAAATTGAGCCTAACTTTCCTTATCTATGTATCATGAAATTGAAGGAAGCAACAGGCAACCTATCAGGCCGTGATGACTAGTGCCAACCACCTTTGTGGTCAACAGAAGAGGCCCGTGAACAGAAGAGGCCCGTGAACAGAAGAGGCCCGCGCTGGAAATATAAACATTAATCAGTGCACTGACATATAACGGCGCAATCTGACATCAAAAAGTGGGGCCGCAGTGCTTGCTGCAGCAAAGACCAACAAACGCCAACTGAGTGCACTCTGACAAGGCAACTTGTTGACCTTTTGTCTGTTAAAGAAGCAGTCCAAGCTTTATGCTTTATTTTGTAAGAATGTACAGGGATGAGAATACTTTGGTCTTTGTAGCTGTCTTTGTTTTGGATTATTGTTTTTCTGTATCATCGTTTTACAAATTTAGGCTTTTGTTCATTTAAATTATTGTTTATTTAATTGAATAGTAGCTTAACAGTAAGTGATAACGTGACCTTGTTTGATATATGATTATGATTATATTCGTTTGCAGTACATTCTAATTACTTTTATTATATTGTTATAGGAAATAGAGAAACAGTTATCGCTAAATATGTTTTTATTAGATATCAAGTAGTTTTTAGCCGGTACCCACATTTGAAGGCTGGCAGCATGACCGTGTGTGGACGACGTTGTCATCATGGGGGTTGTCATGTCATGTGCTCTAAGGGTGGAGCTTGAAATAACAAGCAAAACAGTTGGGATTTCTTTATTTTCTCTGCTTAACACGTCTTTTCTTATGCTGAACCACCTCATTAGCATTCTTGCAGAATCACTTCCATTAGTAAGGTCTATTTGTAACTATTAGATATTTTTATATCCCCTCCTCTTTTGGTCTTCTTGACCAGTGTGCAGAACACCGGCAGGGAATCATCATAACTACAGAATTAAATGAATTTTAATTAGCTATATAATCAAAGTCAAAATAGAAACTAGTAAAACTATAGAGAAGTAAAATACACTAGATCGCCTCAAATCTCATACTAGTCCTAACAACGTTTTAACAAAGCGTTTTCGCCGTGATTTCGTAACGTCAGTTTTCGAGAATATCGAAATTTTTACAAATCTGTGTGAGTAACGGTACACGAATAGCATACATTAATTCACAGCGCATCTGTTATCCTTATTGATCATTTTAGAACTATTAGAAACTAAGATATAAAGTAGCAGAAACGTAAGCTTTACAACGAAAGAAAACGAGAGCAAAGCCTCGTGGGCGTCGGAGCAAACTGCCTCCGATGGTCATCTTCATTGCACGTACGAACCGACGCACACATGCAGCTCGGTATATAAAGTCAGCCTAAGAGAGTACTCGACACAGGCATCCCACCTCCTCCGCCGTTAACATGAGGACGTGGATTAGCTTAGTGAGTATAATCGCTGTCTAATATAACAGGTGGACAGGAGGCAGCGTTAACACTACACCATTGAAAATTGATGATTTGATCAAATGCTGATCTGCAAGTCAATGGGAATTTGGTGTAAGACTTGTGCTCTGACGGAGGTCGTATATAGGCTGTGAAGTGATTTAAACAATTTACCTCTTTTACATGTTCTATAAATCAGCAATATATATGCGATTCGAGGTCATATATTTCTATATGTGGGTATAATTTTAAATAAATATGTATGTAGGTGTATATGAATGGATGTATGTAAATTTATACATATACATACACGCACACACAACAAACACATATATAGATATATGTATATATAAAAATATATTTATATATGTATATGTATACATATACGGACATATGTATGTGTGTATATATGCATATATGTGTAAATACATATATACATGTATATGTATGTATGTATATGTGTGTATGCATATATCTGTGCGTGTGTTTATACATAAATACATATGTATACTGTAGGTGTATATGAATGGATATATGTATATTCATACATATACATACATACACGCACACGCAACAAAGACATATATTTAGACATGTACTTATACATATATATTTATATTTGTATATGTATATATAATTAAATGCATGTGTGTATATATATACACATATGTGTGTGTCTGTGTAGATACACATATATATGTATACGTATGTATATATATATATGTAAATATATTATATATACACACATATATATGTGTGTGTATTTATATGTATATATATGTGTACACACACACACATATATATACATATATACCTATATATATATAAGTATATGTGTACATATATTTATATATATGTATGTATGTATACATACATGTGTATTTTTTATAATATACATAACATTACATGTGTACACACATATATGTGTATGTATACACTTTACACATGTAATGTTTACACATGTATGTTTTTGTGCGTTTAACTGCATATATGCGTGTGCCTATGCATGCTTAAATTTGTATATAAATATTCATGTCTCTTTTGCTACGGCCTTATACTCTATGTCATCGTCATGGATCATTGGGTGCGTGGTTGGCCCCGAGCTGGATTACAGTCGATGTTGAGGGAATCCAAACTGGGGAAGCACGGGCTTAAAACAAAGATTTTGTATAAGATTCATAAACACAATATGTAGATTTTCAAGTGTAAATGTGCAAGTATTTGACATAGTGATAAGATCAATTGCTTCGTAATACAAATGTTCCCGCCTACAAAAATACATGAAGATTCGCTTTCCTTTCAGACCGTGTTGTCCGTGGCGGTGGTTAGCACGCTGAGTTTTCCACGTCCTGATGCCGAGTACAACATTCCGACCGTAGGCCTCGGTGCTAGGTCACAATACTATGTTCTCCACGACGATGGGACCTTCAAGTATGGCTACGACACTGGTGACGGAGCCTACGAGTCTGCGATGGCAAATGCTCCCGGGGACGTATCTGGCTCGTTTGGATACAAGGATGCATCTGGGGCAGACATAAAGCTGGATTATACAGCTAATGACCAAGGCTTCCTTGTCAGTGGATCTCATCTGCCAGTTGCCCCAGTCGCTGACACTCCTCTCGCATCGACCAAAAATAAGGCTTCCACTTACGATGCTCCTAACGTTCCTTCGCAGTCTTCAGTCTCCTCCCAACCAGGTGCTCCTTCACAGCCTGTAGCCGTATCAGCACCGCTTGAAGAAGCTCAAGTGAGAAGCTCTGCTCTTGGCGATGGAAGCTACTCTTTCTCCTACGAGACTCAGAGAAGCTCACGTCACGAAACAGCAGACGCTCTCAATAATGTCAAGGGAAGGTATTCCTTTATTGCTGATGATGACATAAATAGGCAAATCCAGTATGTGCTGGAGCTGACACCGGTTACATTGCTGAAAAGTGGATCTCATCTGCCAGTTGCCCCAGTCGCTGACACTCCTCTCGCCTCGACCAAAAATAAGGCTTCCACTTACGATGCTCCTAACGTTCCTTCGCAGTCTTCAGTCTCCTCCCAACCAGGTGCTCCTTCACAGCCTGTAGCCGTATCAGCACCGCTTGAAGAAGCTCAAGTGAGAAGCTCTGCTCTTGATGATGGAAGCTACTCTTTCTCCTACGAGACTCAGAGAAGCTCACGTCACGAAACAGCAGACGCTCTCAATAATGTCAAGGGAAGGTATTCCTTTATTGCTGATGATGACATAAATAGGCAAATCCAGTATGTTGCTGGAGCTGACACCGGTTACATTGCTGAAGGAGACTCTCTTCCTCAAGGACCACCTGTTCCAGGTGCAGAGACTGGCATTCCAACTGGACGCATTCTTCCTGTTCTGTCTGAAGAAGAGGCTAACGAGCTTGCCGCTGCCACTTCTGGTTCTGCAGGTGCTAGCCCTTTGACTGGTGCTACCTACAGTTCCCCAAGTGACTCTGTTACAAGGGATGCATCTTACTCTTTCAGTTATGATGCTGGTCAAAGCTCGCGATCCGAAAGTGCTGATCCCAACCTTAACGTACAGGGAACTTTCAGCTTTGATGCTGATGATGGAATTAGAAGGACTGTGAACTATGTTGCTGGATCTGCTACCGGTTTTGTTGCTGAAGGTGACCACTTACCTGTTGCTCCAGATGCTGATTTTGGCTCTCGAATTCAGTCTTCCAGCCCAAGTGTTGTGTCAACCAAGAGTGCAACTACAGCCTATGTTGCTCCTGCTCCTTCACGATCTGCCGCCCCTTCACGACCCGTTGCCCCAGCAGCACCAGTTGAGGAAGCTCAAGTACGAAGCTCTGCTCTTGGCGATGGAAGCTACTCTTTCTCCTATGAGACTCAGAGTAGCTCACGACATGAAAGTGCAGATGCTCTCAACAACGTCAGGGGAAGGTATTCCTTTATTGCTGATGATGCCCGTTGAAGGAGACTCTCTTCCTCAAGGACCACCTGTTCCAGGTGCAGAGACTGGCATTCCAACTGGACGCATTCTTCCTGTTCTGTCTGAAGAAGAGGCTAACGAGCTTGCCGCTGCCACTTCTGGTTCTGCAGGTGCTAGCCCTTTGACTGGTGCTACCTACAGTTCCCCAAGTGACTCTGTTACAAGGGATGCCTCTTACTCTTTCAGTTATGATGCTGGTCAAAGTTCGCGATCCGAAAGTGCTGATCCCAACCTTAACGTACAGGGAACTTTCAGCTTTGATGCTGATGATGGAATTAGAAGGACTGTGAACTATATTGCTGGATCTGCTACCGGTTTTGTTGCTGAAGGTGACCACTTACCTGTTGCTCCAGATGCTGATTTTGGCTCTCGAATTCAGTCTTCCAGCCCAAGTGTTGTGTCAACCAAGAGTGCAACTACAGCCTATGTTGCTCCTGCTCCTTCACGATCTGCTGCCCCTTCACGACCCGTTGCCCCAGCAGCACCAGTTGAGGAAGCTCAAGTACGAAGCTCTGCTCTTGATGATGGAAGCTACTCTTTCTCCTATGAGACTCAGAGTAGCTCACGACATGAAAGTGCAGATGCTCTCAACAACGTCAGGGGAAGGTATTCCTTTATTGCTGATGATAATGTAAATAGGGAAATCCAGTATGTTGCTGGAGCTGACACCGGTTACATTGCTGAAGGAGACTCTCTTCCTCAAGGACCACCTGTTCCAGGTGCAGAGACTGGAATTCCAACTGGACGTATTCTCCCTGTTCTTTCTGAAGAAGAAGCCAATGCTCTAGCAGGAGTCTCACCTCTGCTGAAGTCTGGAGAGGGGAGCGACATTGCAGATACTCAAGCAGATGCTTCTTACAAGTTTGCCTTTGATTCTGATAGTTATTCACGGACTGAGGAAGCTGATGCTGATGGCAACATTGTCGGAAGCTATACGTATGTAGATGAAGATGGAAAAGAACATACTGTTAGCTTTGTAGCAGGAAGAAAAACTGGATTTTTGCCCAAAGCAGCTGCAGGAGACGCAACACCTGTAGCAACCGTTTCACCCGCGTATTCGTCACCTTCGAGATCAAGCACTGTTACAGCTGCCCAAGCTGCCAGTCCTCTAACAACAACGAAAACTGCAGGGTCCTCAGCAACGGCTGGCAGTCACACATCGCAGGTCATAGGCGACGTTCTCCTTCACCAGTATAATGCTGCCAACAGTCCCAAATATGGTTACGTCTTCACGGCTGTCCGCTGATTATGAAAATAGGCCTCCGTGCTATAAAGCATTTCCAGTTTTAACCACATAAAACTATGGGATGTTTGTACCGTGTTAGTCCAAAGGAAACTTATGCGGGTGTTTGTCCTACTTTTTTCTATGTAATTTGCTCGAACAAGAAATTTAAAGGATAAAAAGTATGTTCTTTGAACGACGTTCTCCTTCACCAGTATAATGCTGCCAACAGTCCCAATATGGTTACGTCTTCACGGCTGTCCGCTGATTATGAAAATAGGCCTCCGTGCTATAAAGCATTTCCAGTTTTAACCACATAAAACTATGGGATGTTTGTACCGTGTTAGTCCAAAGGAAACTTATGCGGGTGTTTGTCCTACTTTTTTCTATGTAATTTGCTCGAACAAGAAATTTAAAGGATAAAAAATATGTTCTTTGAACTGTCAACAAAGCATGAAAAATCAATAAAAATGCAATGAAAAGTTATTTGGATTTGATGCTAATGTTTTCCCGTTTCCCCCTCTTTATAATGTGCTTATCCAGTGTGTATACCGCTGTGTTCGTAATTCACCAGCTACAAAAATACTGTTTCACCTGCGTAGTCATCACCCTCGAGACCAAGTACTGTTACAGCTGTCCAAGCTGCCAGTCCTCTAACAACAACGAAAACTCTAGGATCCTCAGCAACGGCTGGCAGTCACAC